GCGGGAATGGCTCTGTACCCATTCCCAACACTGACACACCCAGCAGAGACAGCCTATCTTGTTACACCTTTCTGGCAGTTCATCCAAATGTCATGATTAGCTCGATATCAGATAAACCCCAATCTTGCCTCAGGACATCAATCGTTTCCGCCCACCCGGTCGTACTAACGCGAACAATGCACGTACACCTGAGCATTCCACCGATGGGTTTGTTTTCAGCACTCCCTTATTTCACTTCTTTGCCTGTCATTTCTGATTCCCAATCCTTTGAAGTGCTCACAGAAGAGGTATTTTTGCACACTGCATTTGCACTTATACTAATTAACACGATCCATAAAGAATAAGTAACATTGTACAAGCATACTTACTCAGCGCAGCACCCCACATATAATCCGCACCACCGAAACATGATGTTCCCTTGATACATTGGATGCGACTTTAGATATTCCTAACTCTTATCTGTTTCGAAAAGATCGCAGCACAAAGCAAAGCGGCGGGTGCATCGTATATCTCCATCGGAATTTCAGAGGTGAGTTCATTAATGACCCACAGTTAAACAATGTCCTAGAATCTCTAAGGCTATTAGTCGCTGAAGCCTCCTCTACACTACTTCTCGGTTACATCTACAACCCTCCGAAAGCGACAGCCAGAGATATCGCAATTGTCTCCTCAGCTTTTGATTTCGCATCGGTGTTACCACACGGACTATAGATAATCGCAGGCGATTTCAATCGACCGAATATTCTTGGTCACCACAAACATACTCATCATCGCACAGATCTTTCTTATCGACTATCAGAGTTGGGGGTTAGACTCAGTGGGTTACCAGACCTACTAAGTCTGCCAACATACTGGAATTAATCTTCACCCTGGGGATTCCTGACGCACAAATTGACATCTTAGACGACATTCTGGATAGTGACCACAATATGCTACGCCTTTCCATTCACTTGGAAATGAATACCAAACTCGACTCACCTACCCAGCATACTATACGAAGGATTGACTGGGAGCATTTCAGAAAGCAGATCCGGTCCTCTAACTTGGATGGGTTTTTCTCCCCACTAGCGCACACATTACAGTGGAAGATTTCTACTACCACATCAATCGCATTCTAACTGTACATGTCCCGCATAATAAATGTGCCATTTTTTGTCCTATGAATGTAAGCGGCATTCCGAGTGAAGAAAACGAAAAAACCAACCGGGAAATTCAGAAAAACTAGACTTCTCACTAGTATTACAGCTGCACGAATACACCGGCTGCATCAAGCGCTCACAAATAAAACGGACTGCAAAGGAGGAGTAGAACGCCCTGCAGATGTCATGCAAATAAAATGAACCGGCCAAATTACTCCGTCTTAGGAGTAACAATCGAATGTTATTAATTACAGAACTTAGTGATGAGGAGGGTCGCCACCTTAACGACCCACCTGATATTTGTGAAGCTTTCAGCACTTTTTTCGCTGCTTCCATGAACCTAGAAACCGACCCTATACCTTGCAGCTCGGAACTTACAAAAAGCGGTATAGATAATGCCAAGGTTTCTCTTTCGACTCTCCGATAGGCTATGTAGTCCATCAAACCATCGCTCAAATGAGACTCCGATGGCATACCCTCATCAGTTATTAAACTTTGTGGACCTGCCATACCACTGCTTTTGCTGAACTTGTTCACCTTATTCTTAGAATCTAACTACTTTCTGGATCATTGGAAGACATCGTTTATTGTCCCTCGTCACAAATTGGGGCGCAAACAGCACGTCAATAAATGACTAAATAAATACTTAAATAGTTTATTCTCGAAATTATCGAGGAACAAGAAATCAGGCATGATCAAAATACACTAATTAGTGACCTATCCATCATACTCCCTTCATCACTAGCTTACTCGAAGAATTGGTTAAAAGTGGAATCGCGGGCTTTACCCATCGTCATGGACTACTTAACAAATCTCAGCATGGCTTCTTTGACGAACGTTCCTGTACAACGTGTCAGTTGCACCACCTGGAGTCCATCACAGAAGCTTTTGATATGAAATATGCAGTTATAATGCTGTTCCTGGATATGCAGAAAGCATTCGACAGTGCCCCACAAGCGGCTACTGAAAAGAAAGGAGTCGTTTGGTATCAGAGACCTGCTATTTTGTTGGCTGGCATCATATCTTAACGGGCGTTACCAGATAGTCACTCTGGGTAATCGTAACTCCACCCTACGTCCAATCACTAGTGGTGTCATCCAAGGGAGGGTACTTAATCCTTCGCTTTTCCTACTTTATAGCAATGATATCACGGTATTCATAAAACATGGCAGGCCATTTTTGTTCGCCGACGACATAAATATTTTTTATAAAGTTCGACGAGACGAACTCAATAATGCAGTGCTGTTCGTTCAAGAAGACCTCGATTCACTTGTGAAATAGTGCAACACATGAATGCTAAACTTCTCACCTATTAAAGCATGTATTATGTCACAAGTATGTTTAATCCCTGGAGAGTCTGTTAAACTGAACAATGAACGTATCTGTGTGAAACTATCCAACTGTGATCTATGTATACCATACTCTTCAAACTTTAATCGCTCAGAGCAAGCTGAGTATCAAATAGCACTTGCCAAGCGATCTGTGGCTAACATATGCCATAAAATCTAAACAAACCCTGCCAGACTCGAGCTTTCAAAATACTTACACTTCCTGTCCTTGAATACTGCAGCATCATCTATGGGAACATGCGAATAGGTGAGAGGAAGGCTTTGAAAAACTTGCAAAGGTCATTCACTAAGCGCTTGTTCAGTAAATCAACCACCTTGAATTCTCAGGAGCGTTGCCAGCAGCTTAAGCTCGAACCCATTGGTTGCGACGACTGAAATATAACCTGATGCTGATACACTACCTCATAAACCAAAAGACATACTTAAATCTGTATAAAGTTAAAATTCAACATAACTTCACACGGAATATAAGTAACAAGACTTGTACATTATGTGTGTCGAGAACCAGGACAGTTTTCCGATCAAACTTCTTCCTCGTCAGATACGCTGTCGTGTGGAATAGCCTACAAGCCACTATCAGGTCTTGCACCAACGTAAGAGCATTCCACATTCAGCTTGGCAAATTCCTTAACCAGAACTCGATAATGATCATGTTGCCATCGGGTAAATCACCATACGAGTTCTTTCAGGATGGAGCAAGTAGTATATACTCAATGATTAAAGATGGTACAAAGAAATCAGCAACAATAAAACCTACTTGATTCCAAATTATTTTGATATCATACACCCATATTACATATTTCACTAATGCATGAGCATGAGAATTATTGTACCCATGAGCTGTCTATAATCCAGGGACAGCTTCTCGTACAATCGGGAAATTATGTACGACCGGATCTTCAGAGATGACTGTCTCCATCATCTTTGAGATTATAGAGAGGAGTACCACTGTGTGATAGTTTGCGGGTTCCGAGCGATTGCTACTTTTGAAAATTGGCGTGAGTAGACAAGGTTTTCACAAGTTAGGCACAATCCGTTCATCCCAATAAACTTTTAGGAAAAGCGATAAAGGCTCGGCCAGCTAGGATGCCCCTACCTTCAGTGCTCTAAGGTGAAGCTCATCGATTCCGGGAGAACAGTAGGTGTAGACTGAAAGCAGTTTCGTCAAAACAGATTGGCAGTAAAAGCGATGTTAGTAAGTGCTGAAATTAGGGTGATGATTGTGGGTATGTAACACTGGCAGACGGGTACTAACAAGGTAGGGGCATAAAGCATCTGTATAGCTTTGGCTGCTTCTTCAGCGTTCTGTGGCACTCCGCATATTGTGTTAAGTGAGGGATACCATGCTTCACTTTCGTACGATGTTAACACCTTTACATGGGAGCTCTTTGTTGTTGGCAAATTTGCAATCCAAATATTAGTGTTCAGCCATTTGTCCTCATAGACAAGCGCATTAGGAGACGCGGTACATCAGAAATCAAGTCAACCTAAAAGAAAGAGAGAGCAAGTCGCATGCTGCATCATTTGCAGGTTAATAAATAAAAATTCTAATGTTATGATGGCTAGTCGGCTTTTATCGGCATCTGTTAAGACTACTGTAGCTCCGTGTCAGTTCAGATTAGGCAACACTTGTTAATGGGTCTCACGATTCCAATCTGGTTTAGGATATTTGAAAATGAATTTAGAAAAGACTTGCTCGTATTTTCTATCTCTACCAACGAGGCACCTCACCAGAATAGTAGAGTAAACGGATACTAATAGATTGTAGCCTGCACGCGTGCATTTTATACGTTATAATTTGGCAAACGCACATAGGAGTCAGTATGTCGCTTTTACGGACGTTTTAAATTTGACACACCGAATTCAGTTATACTTACCAAAAAATAACGTGCCGGTAATCCAACAATAACTTAAAGGGTAGCTTGTAGTAGAACAGATATTGCGAAGTATCCGGGGCTGATACTGGTTCCTATGGTGGCAGAAATGAGGAAAATTTACAGCACCTGGGACTTCCTTAACAATAACGTCTTCAATGTCATCGAACAGAACAACATTGTTTAAGTGGTCAAGGTAATACAATTTTTTGCGGGGAATGACAATCGGTATAGTAACAAATAGATGTATGCTTAGTGTTACTCAGAAAACCGGTAAAAGTAACACCCAGGTTTTTCTGGAAATCCATGGAAAGCATTGTAGCGATAACTAAACCAACATTTCCATGATACTATCTGCTAGTATAATGTCTATGACTAAATAAAGGTAAAAATAGTTTTTGCTCTCTCAACACCCCATTGCTCACATCTCTAGCTTCAAATAAACTCTATAGTATTGTTTTGGGTCAACTATTTGCTCAACGAGAAAGTATATTCCGCATTATCGGATTGCTTGTTTTGCTTATTTCTGGACTGCTCTTTTTCGGTTCAACATAACGTTACGCTTGATTGTTCTTTTTGCTGTAGATAGCTAGTTTCCGCCAGCTGGTGTCGGTTTTATTGAACCCGGGAAGCCAGTTATGGAGTACAATCTCAAAATGCTACAGTTCTACCTGGGCTTATACGGCTTTGCTGCGTTTCTTTGTCTCCTGGGTTACGTGTATGCTTTGGTTGATTGGCAACTGAAGCTTCGCAGACAACGAGCATCTGGCTCAGCCTCCATACCTTCTTCATCAGTAACACCAATCGTGGAGAAAACTAAGGCAGCCCGACATATCGTTCGTTTCGGAAACACAACTCAGGAGCTCATCAGTGAAAAGAGTAAGGATTTTTGTTGCAATATGCGTTATTCCAAACATTGATATTGGGTATAATACAGAAGTTGCGTAAATCTACTGCCACCAGTGACAGTACTAAGCAGGCCAAATCATTTTGATAACTTAACGGTCATCCTTTAATCAACACTTAGCTGAGATTGAAACTCAAATCATTTAAACTCATCGTAAAGGAAGAATCGTCTTGATACAAAAGAATATTGATATTGGTATACCTAATCTTCTGACATAGTATAGGAAATATTTTGACCGTTGCTGTTATATAAAGCAAATAAGGGCGTGTTTAGATATGTACACACTGTGACCCAAGCTTCCAACAAGTACCCAGATGAAAGGCTAGAGGTATCACGCTATTAGTCTTTTTATTACTTATGGTGAAATTTGGTGGTCGTAGTGTTGGCTGAGCTCGGCTGTTTTGCTGCAAATTTATCACCACTAGTGGTGACATCATCAGTGGGCTTGTATGTAGCGGAGTGGTGTGATGTCAAGCGCTAGGGAAATGTTGTAAAACGTTTTTTCCTTTGAGTAGCGAAAAGAAACAGGTTGCATTTAGTACACTTGAATCTGCGGCGTCCATTGCAACTCTTAAGCTTGCAGCGCTGTCCGAAATCGTTGATAAACGTCAATAACGCTTAGGATAGTTAAACGAACGCGTAGAACACTGATCTGCGGTCTCCAATTTGGATTCAATGAACGTCAAAGCCCGAAACTGGTACGCAACCGTCGGATACACAAAAGGCACAGTCGGTGTTGAATTACGATGTTATGCCACAACAATAGGAAATCCTAAGTACAAATTATTTTAACGATATTCGCAACAAAATAAGTACACACAAGTACCCGTCACGGTAATAGACAATAATTTGCTGGTTCAAGCACAACTCAAAATAAAACAAAACGCGCAGCGCGGTACAGTGATCTCGCCGCGGACGGGTCATGAAACAGGCAGTTAAGAGCCCAATCCTAAAAGCTAGAGGCGGTCTGTGGGGGAACAACCTTAGAGCAGCAACGCGCGGTTGAAAATGCAAAATCCAGACGTGGTTTGGCTTAGAACCAGGACAGACGCGGGTGAAGAAGGACAGTGAGTCAGACGAGAGCAATCACGGTAACATAGGTCGATACGGACACACTGTGACCGGAACAGTTCAATAGGGCATGAATCCTACAAAGAGGGAGTTACAAAATCGTAGTTCCATTGTAGTTGGTTCGATTGCAGCACTCCAAGATAAGAAGTAAGGTAGTTAGGATAAGTCACAGAGGTAATGTGGGAGGGCAGCAAAGTTCTCAAATGTATTTGTAAGTTAAACTTAAAGGAGCCAGGGGAAGCTAGACAGTAACTTTAGACCAAGAGCAGTGCGAATGGAGTTGAACAAGTTGTAGCTTACAGATGCAAACAGGAAAATAATCAATTCTATCGTATCTGACTTCAGCAACTGGTACCTCTGAAGGCTTTACACGCTTTGCAGGGGAAGGACTAACAGCTTTAGCAGTTGATGCTTTGCCAGATCGCTGACTGATTTGAATATGTCAGGTCTTCCCACAGATCTGCACGCAGTTTTTTCTAAATGCGGATAGCGGCCTCCTGTCGGTTATTTTGGCTGTGTTGACCGGATCACTTTGTTTTGGCTTTCTGCTTTCACTGGAAGTATTTCGTGGAAATTTAGATACGATTCTGTTTCATTTCCTATTTTACAATTTCCAACCAGAAATACTTGTATTGTCATTGCTTGGTTTCGGCGATCTTGCCATCGCCTTTTTCTCCGTCAATCGGCCGCCATCTTGTTTTCGGATTATTCACAATGCCGAAGCAGTCATCCTGTGGCACTTGCTCCAAGCTAGTCGCATACCGTGCAAATGACCTCACGTGCGTTTTGTGCCAAGTTAGATACCACATTTCATGTGTTGGAGTATCAGTTGAGCATTTTCCTCGTCTTCGCGAGATCCAACACGATTTCGTCCAAACTGCATGTGCAAATTGCCGAAATAAGATACAGCCAGGAAGAGTAAAGCCGACGTGTAGGCCTCAGCGTTTCGTTGCAAACAGCTCCGTGTGTTTGGCCCAACAAGCCAGCCCCAAGAGCCTTCAAGTTTCAGCTCAGTCTTCTTCCTCTACCTTTGCAAACTCACTGGAATGAAGTCCAACCGTAGTGAGAAGCCCAGTTTCACCTGGCCTAAATTGTTTACCTTTGTTGTGTCCAACGGACATTGATATCCCAGCAGGTGAAAGTCTGAATGCTGAAGGCCAGTGGAAAGAAAGGAGAACGAAATTACGAAGGGACGTTGGGCGTTCTGTAAGTCGACAGTTTGCCAAACCACGTGAGGCTGGCAGTATACTTTGCCCTGCAAGGTCAACTTCGTCCGACCAGAGGCGTTATAATCTCGTGATCTTTCACGCACCGGAGTCCAGTGATCCATCACCCCAAGTGCGCTACGATCACGATGTCGAGTTTTACAGGGTCTAATTGACAGACTCCTCGACGCTGTTGAGGACTCGGTAAAAGTAAGGCATATTACCCGTCTTGGAAAGCAAGGTGATCAACGAAATTGGCCTATGAGAATCACTTTGTGGACGAAGCCAGTCCAAGACTGATCATGTCCCGCCTAAGCAGGCTGAAAGGTTTGAAGATCCATGTTTGTCTAGACCTGGACCCAGTAGACAGGGAGCGGTTCAAGTCTGCCATCATTGAGCTGAAAAGACGCACTGGTGAGGGGGAAACAAATCTTCGTACCGTAAATTTTCGGGTGGTTTCCAACAAGCCGCGAATCAGGATAAACAGGCCGCTCAAACTTCAAGCACGCCTGACGGCTCCTGCTGCGACCTGCGAGTGGCCTTCACAAACATTTGCAGTGTTATGAATAAGCGCGATGAGCTTTGTTATTTCGTTGCGTCTGAGCGGTCAGACGTAGTGGGACTCGCAGAGACATAGCTGCATGCAGAGTTATACACCCAAAAACTTGAACTCAACGGTTACTCGTGCTTCCGATGCAATAGACTAAAGAATGCCCACGGTGGTGTCTTACTTTACATCGGATCTTCCCTGCGTGGGCGACTTGTGAGCACCTACTGAAGTGACGTCGGTTTGTGTGAGCTACTATGGTGCTCCATTCGCCTCAGGTGCGGAAAACTGCTTATGGGCGCAGTATATCGCAGTCTTCTGAGTCATTGTTTAGACTGGTTGCCCCATCTTCGAACTCACAAGAGTCGTCCACACTTTCTATTTATGGACGATTTTAACTGTCCTCGAATACGATGGCCTGATGTGTATTTGATGCCTAAACATATTGCTGTTGAAGCAAAGTTCGTGGATATGGAATTATTTTTGCAGTATTCAAGTCCGCTGGAACCAGCTCTCAACTACTGGGAAACGGACTTTGATGATCTAGCTCGAACCGCGAAGCAACTGGATTGGTCAGTGTCACAAGGTGCATCTGTGGAAGATTGTTGGATATTTATAAAAGAGAGATTGACATCATTGTGTTCCAAATTTGTGCCGTTGAAATGTCGGAAGGTTGGACCGATCAAGCCTCATTGGTTTGACAAGGAGCATAGAAATCTGGTTTGGAGGCGGCGCAGAATGTGGGACAAATTTCTCCTCTCTGGCTCCCCCAAGGATTACGAAGGGTATAAATGTCAGCGGAAGCTCTGCAACAGAGCAAAAAAGAAGAAACACGGACATTTCGAACAGCAGCTCGCAGTAGCCGCGAAGACCGTCCCAAAGAGAATCTTTGCATACGTGAAGCGACGCCTGAAGCCGTCAATTGATGTGCCAGTGCTGGATGGCCCAGATGGATAGCCCCTAACCTCCAGCACTGAGCGTGCGTCCGCGTTGGCGGCGCACATCGCCTCTGTATTTGCGAATAACCAGGTGTCTGTTCCGAGTTCGACGTGTACCGCTTTTACCGAGCTCGATAGTCTGCATTGCGGCGTTGATGATTTATGTCAACTACTCGCCAACCTTGACGGCACCAAACCTGCCGGACTCGATGGGCTTCACCCACTGGTTCTCAAGTCACTTTCAACCATCCTCTCTCCCATCGTGACTGACCTTCTCAACAGGTCGCTGTCCGAAGGTTCGTGGTCGGTTGACTGGAAATGTTCGGTGGTGAAGCCTATTCCGAAATGCGGCGACCCTAGCTAAGTAGACAATTACAGGCCAGTTTGTCTGACACCTATTTTGGCAAAGATTGCTGGGAAAATCGTGAAGAAGAGATTGCTGCAGTTGCTACAGTCAAACGAGGTCCTGACGCCCGCACAGCACGGTTTTATGCAAGGTCGCTCATGCATTACGAAGCTGCTTGTGACGAGGCATGTGTGGTTGAAGGCAATAAGCAAGGGAAAGTCTTTCGACGTGATATTCATCGATTTCAGTAAAGCGTTCGACAAGGTCAGTCATGAGGTTCTCCTTCACAAACTCAGAATGCGTGGTGTCGATGGCTTACTGCACCGGTGAATCCGCGACTTTCTTGTTGGATGAAAGTGGAGGGTACAGGTCGACCACCATCTAACTGACTGGCACCTCTCTACAAGTGGCGTGCCTCAATTCACTGTGCGGGGGCCCAATCTGTTCCTGATCCATATCAACGATCTGCCGCAGTTTCTCCGGTCGCCGTTTGCCTTGTTGCGGACGACATGAAGATTTGGAGAGAAATCGACGCTCCCGACGACTGTGGCCTACTTCAGCAAGACCTCAACCGTCTATCCACATGGTCTGCAGAAGTTCTTCTCCCGGTCAACCCAGCCAAGTCTGTATTTATGTGCCTGCGGAACGGTGCTGACGGCTGAGCCCACACCCTTGACGGCCAACCGTTATATCCCACACCCTCCGTGAAGGACCTAGATGTACTCTCACGCAACGATTTGAGGTCCGTGGACAACACGAACAGGCTACAAATTAACGGACTGCGCATGCTTCGGGCGCTCAAACGTAGCTTCGGCACATGGTCTGAAGAGGTTGCCACTCTCCTCTTCTCTTCCATCATCAGACC